TTTTTTTTCGTGTAATTTCAAATTAAATGGAAAGAGATTAGATTTGATTGTTTGTTTGAATTTGATGAGAGAAATGATGTTAATGGTGATTAAAAGATTCACAAGAAATCAAATCAATTATCATCTAATTTACTACGTTGAGTTTAATCAATGTTAATGATGAAGATGATGAAGATGATGGGGGTGATATTGATCAACCTGTTGGATGAAAAAGTAAAGATGATTAAGGATCAAGTGGATGAAGATGATTAGAATGATAGAGAAAGAGAGAGAGAGAGAAACAAAATGGAATAATAATAATTTGAATAGAGAAGAAAAAATTCTGATGAAGATGAAATTTCTTTTGTGTTGTCGTTGTTCCTGTTTGTTGATGAAGATGATGAAAAGTTTTTCTTTTTTTTCTCTCTCTCTCACCTTCATTGAAGAAAAAAAAATGTATTAGACAACCCGAGACCAGAACCAGGGGGTTGGGAAGATAAAAAGATGATGAAAGTGAATATAAGAAAAAAGAAGCTCAGGTTGGCGAAAGAACCAGAAAATTAAAGGGACTCTCAGGTTTTCACCTCAGGCAAAAGAAGAAGAAGATAAATAGACAGGTAAATAGAAAGAGAAGAAGAAATTTTGGTAGAGAGAATAAGAGAGAAAGAGAGAAACAAAGAGGGAAGGAGAAAGTTCCAAGACAAAGACGAAGAAGAAGAAGATGATGATGATGATGAAGAAGGTTCTTCAGGTCTTTCTTTTTCTCTTCTTTACCTGTTGAAGAAAAAAAAAGAGACAGAGTAACAACGATAAGATGAGAATAAGAAATGCGAATGAGTGATGATGATGATAGAAAAAAAAGAGAGAGAAAAAGAAAGTACCTTAGAGGTTGGATCTTTGGTCGAAGAGAGAGAAAAAGAAAGAGAAGATGTTCATGCGCTTTCTTAATAAGAAAATCTCTTAAGAAAATGAAAGATGATAAACGAAAGAGAAAGAAAGAGAAAAAGATAGAAATGATTTTCATGTTTCGCTCCTTTTAGGAGGCGTCGTTTTTAAAATGGACTCAACGTTGGAATAGTAAATAACTCAACCCGCCTTGAGAGTCTCTACTAAGGCGTTTATGTTTTTCCTCTTCTTCATTATCTTAAGAGAAAAAAGATTTTCCTTCAAACGTAAGGGGAGGATGCAGTTTATCATCATCATCGTAGGTAAGAAGAGAGAGAGAGAGAGAAGACAGAGACCGAAGAGAGTAAAACAAAAAATCTCTTTCTACCTTTTCCCTTCATTATTATTTCCTTCTTTCTACTTTCTTTTTTCTCTCTTCTCTGTCTACATTTCTCTCTTTCTCTCTCAGGTTCATTTTTTGTCATCCTCTCTCTCTCTCTCTCTCTCTTCTCTCTCCTCTCTCTTCTCTCTCTCTCTCTCTCTCTCCTTTCTCTCTTCTCTCTCAGTGAGAATCTCGGAAAAGGAAAAACCTGTTTCACTTGTGTGTGATTCAAATGAAAATGAAAATATCCGAGTCATCATCGCCATCATCTCCATCACCATCACCATCAACAACAATATTTACAGTGAATATAAAGGAGGAACCATTGGACTCCTCTATGCCTCCACTTGCTTCACCCGCCACAGTGGTAAATGTTGCCACTTCCAATACAAATTCAGCATCGAAAACTCGTGAGCTTGAACCTTCACCACCGACTACGGTCATTTCTCTGGCACCCGCTCAACCTTACCCAGGAACACAACTAACCTTTGCTGCTCCAGCTTATGATCTTGAACCAAATACGGCTTACACTGTCCAGGTAATAATCTAAATCTCTACCATTTCATTTTAATCCATTCTTCATCTTAAATCTTCACCTTTCATCTCAAAATCAGTTGATAATCTCTCTCTTTCTCTCTCTCTCACCCACTCTCTCAATCGCTATAAAGTACTTGTAGATCTCAGGTAGATGATAATTGTTTAGGTTGAGAGAAGAAAAGAAAAGAACAAAAAAAAACTCTATGTAATCTATTCACCTGCTTTCATCTTTTTCTTTGTCTTCTCTTATTCCTTTTCTTTTTCTTTTCTTCTTCTTCTTACCTTTAATTCTTTTTCTTATTCTATTCTATTCTTTTCCTTTTCTTCTTCTTCTTCTTCTTTATCATCATCATCATCATCATCATATGAGATTAATTTCTCTTCTTCTTCTTTCCTTTTTTTCTTCTTCTTCTCCTCGTGTATTGATTTTGATTCCAAATTCAATTGAATATCAATCATCTTCTTCTCCAACCCATTGGATCCTAAAGACTCTCTGTTAATCTTTGCACTTTAATCGCGAGAGAAAAAAAAATCTCACTGATTATCTTTTCTTTCTTGCGGTGATTTAATTGATTTCTTGAGGTAAATCATCGGTTAATCAAAAAGGTTAATTTGATTAATTGTTAAATTGCAGAGCAAGGTATTGGCTAGTGATGGTTAGATTGTGGTTCTTAGGTGTAAATATCAAATGTGCACAATTTAAATTGTAAATTGGTTGTTATTCACTGATGATGGTGATGATGGTCAACTATTAATATTAATTAGCCAAAATTAAAATTCTTAATCTTGATAAAGTTTATATGTTTCTTGTTGTAAATCAAATGTTAATTGTTCATTTAATTTTCTATTCTTGTTTCCATGAATTCAACTGATTTAATTGTAAATCATCTGTTCATCAAAAATTTTGTGTGTTTTTGTTTTTCCTTTGTGGTGATTATTAAATAACAATTAATTTATATATATACAAACAATTTAAATCATGACACAAACTGGATCAACAATTACATTGGATTTTAACCAATTTAAATCGTTGGATTATTGTGATAAATCATTGGATTTTTATCAACTACTTGCTGCTGATGAATTTACTGATTGTAACAACAACAACAACAACACCAACACCAACAATGTAAATGAAATCAACAACAACAACAACAACATCAACAATGATGATGATGATGATAATCAACAAACCACAACAACAACACTAAAACCGATGATTCCTGTCCAATGTTCATCATCATCATCGCCATTAACATCATCATGTTCACCACCAACACTTACAACTTTATCAACACTATTATCAACCTGTGATGCTTCATCTTCATCTTCAACCCAATGCCAACCAACACCATCAACACAACCCCAACCCCAACCACCTTCACCTTCATACCACTCACTTGAACCACCTCAGGTCAATTCAGATGTAGCATCTCAATATGCCACAGTGGCCCAAGGAGCAACAGGTCGCCTAAGTAACAATGGCACCGTTTACCTGACAACTGATTATATAACTTATAGTGACTATTACACTGCTACTGGTGTAACTGGATCAGGATCAGTAACAAATCATGATCAGGTAATTGTTGGTTAACATGACGTATTTTAATTACTATTATCTGGACCCCTTTTCTTTTTAAATTAACTCGAAAACTTCTTTGTTTTATTTTTCTCTTCAATCATAATAGTGAGAGAGAAGGATGAAAATCATCTCTACACACACACATACACACTTAACCACTAACTATAATCATCTTCCATTGATCTTAATCTTAATTAACTTTTTTCCTCTTCTCCATTCAATTCCTACACAAAAAAAGTTTTCATGCTGAACTATAAAACACTTAATCATGATTGGCTCTTTACCTTTGTGTATATATCCACTATCAGAACATATTATCATGGTTATAATGTTGATTAGGTGCGCAGTTATATTAAATTGGTAACAATTAACTTTTACACACTGAATAGTTTTGTTCACTTTGCGCAGAAAGAAAAACTTTTTCCTATGTTAGTTTTGTAGCTCTTGTAGTTTACGCAAAATTTGCTATATCATATTGCAAACAGCTCATTCATCCTTATATTCATCCTCATCATCCCCTCATCATCCTCATTATCATCTTTGCATTAGAATGCAATTTGCTATCTCCACCCATCTCTTTGCATTCTTTTTTTTTTTCATTCTCATTTTCTTATTGTTAGAACTTTTTTTTTCTCCTTTGTTTACATTTCGCTTTTTTATATTGTTTGCTAATTATGTTTTTCTCCCTTTTTTTACCCACCACACTCACCTTTTTCTCTTGCTCGTCTTCTCCCTCTCTCTCTCTCTTTCTCTCTTATACTCTTTCTCTTGCCCTCCCCACCCACTTGTGAACTGTCACTTTCTTTTTGTCTTAGGCCATTTTACCTGTTTCCGCTACAACGGTAGACCATTCAACAACAATAACCGTTACCTCACCTAATCTAACGTCACCAGTCTCTGGAACCGGAGAGTCCAATTCAAACTCATCGACACCATCGACTGTAGGAGGTGGAGGAAGCAAAACTTCCGGCGGAAAACGATCATGGAATGAGTATAACCGAAATTCTGAAGTAGATAAAGTGCAAATACCAAAAATATTCTCGGAAGTCGGTTATAAATATTATCTAGAGTCACCAATATCGACAAGCCAAAGAAGAGAAGATGATAGGATCACTTATATCAATAAAGGTCAATTTTATGGGATCACATTAGAATATATTCCTGATCCTGCTACTCCCTTAAAAAGTGCCACAGTTAAGTCTCTGGTGTTATTGGTGTTCAGGGAGGAGAAATTACATGAAGATGAGATTAAATCATGGCAATTTTGGCATAGTCGTCAACACTCAGTTAAACAGCGAATCCTTGATGCAGATACTAAGAACTCGTCCGGTATCATTGGGCCGATTGAGGAGGTGACACATAACTCAATTGCTTTTTATTGGAATCCTCTAGAAGGACCTGCTAAGATCAACGTTGCTGTGCAATGTTTGAGCACTGATTTCAGCAATCAGAAGGGGGTCAAGGGATTACCTTTACACCTTCAGATTGACACTTTTGATGATTTCCGCGAGGGAAGTCCACCAATTCATCGGGGCTACTGTCAAATTAAAGTCTTCTGTGATAAAGGCGCAGAAAGAAAACTCGAGATGAAGAGAAGAGCTGCCAAACGTAAACTCACCGCCACTGGAAGTAAGTCCATTCTCTTAATTACTATTCCAATGATTCAACAAATGTTTGCAAACTTTTCATTCTGGTTTGATTAATGAGTATTTTTTATTTCGAAAAAAAAATTTCTTGAATTACACTTGTCGATAGTCCCAATAATGAGTGTGTACAAAATTTTCTCTGAAATATTCAGATAGTAACTAATTAGTGTTTCGAGATAAATGAATGATTCTTGTTGAAAAAAAAAAAGATTGATAATGAAAAAGTTTTGTTGCAGTTATTGAACTTTGTTAATTCCAAATCGTTGGGGTGATGTGATCTACACGTCATTACGTTTATTTATTAATTGAGAAGAGTAAAAATGATGCGAAAAATGTTAGTAGTGACCTGAGAGAAGGTCAAGGGTCAACGACATCATCACTTTTTGGAGGAGGCTGCTTAGCACCGACTCTCCAATCATTACGATGAATAATATCAGTTGACCATCTATCTCCTTCAATCTGAGCTTGATTGGCTTTCCATGGCTCATCTGGTTCATTCATCTTCTTCCAATCAGATGACCCTTCAACCTGACCTCGACCAGATTCATTGTTTACACTTGACCGGTCCCTAAGGTCTACTCGTGTTTGTTGTTGATCTGTCGGCTGATGATTTGGATGTTGTTCTTGTTGAGATTGAGTTTCTACCTTTGAAGATGCTGATACATCATCAACATCAATAATCTCTGGATGTTGAGGTGGTCGCTTTTTGTATTTATTTTCATTAGTTACTGATGACCTTTCACCATCATTGTTGAGTGACACACTTGCTCCAATCCTTGTCGAATCTCTTGTGTTCCCTATTGTTGAGCCTTTGCTTTTTATCCTTCCAATGTCACCTTTATTTTCTGTATTACTTTCTTGACCACTAAATGGACCTGTTAATCCGGGAAATCTTGCATCTAATCTTGCATTGTTAAGCATGGGGTCGAAACCACCACCTAAAGCAGAGACTCCAAAGTTGAGAGGGTCAGATTCAAATTTAGGTGGAAACATGTCCACCTCGTGAACTTCATAAGGTCGATCGACTTCGTACTTTGTCACTGGCTTCAATTGTTTCGATTGTTGTTGATTTTTCTGGACATTCGCTCCACCAGAATTATCTCCACCTTCTGAAATTCCAGTGGCAGTTTCTCGCTGTTTAATCGCACTCATTGGTTCGATCTTTGCAGGCTCTTTATCTTCTCTATCCTCTTTCTGATCTTCTTCCTCTTCATCTTCATGCTCTTCCTCTTCTTCCTCCGAATGAGGTTCTTTCTTTTCTATATAAATATCAGCATTACCAATCGGAGGTTCGACAAGATACTCAGCACCAAGAATATCTTTAGCATTCAAATATTCCGTTTCCTTGCCTTCGTAACTGCCATAGGAATCGCCGTAACCTCCCCATGAGTCCCATCCTTTACTCTTCTTCTTCTTCTTGGGCTTCTTGAAAACAACTTCCATTTCAGGCCATTCGCCCCACTCCTTTTCTTCCTTTTCACAGCATTTCTTTTTCGGCTTTTTACACTTTTTCTTCTTGGGTTTACACTTTTTCGCCTTTTTACATTTCTTTTTCTTGCAGCACTTTTTCTTCTTCTTCTTTTTCTTCGATTTTACCTTCTTGTACTTCTTTTCATACTTTTTACCTTTTTTGTACTTTGTCGAAACGCTGTACTCTCGTTTCTGGGGTTTATCGGCTCTTGAATTGATCTGAACTCGCGACATGGGTAAAACCATTAATCCCTCTTTTTCCGCTTCTTTCATTTTACGAAATTTACTGAATCCATCCATTGATGATGATGGACCATTCCAATAGTTTTCATCATGTTTTGTCAACCCTGTGGCACTTTCATGGTTATTATTATTATTATTACCATGAGCCTGAGGTACTGGGTATGTTGGGCCCGAAGGGCTTGGGTGGTTAATTGTTGTTACATGATGTTGTTGAATATGTGGTCCAGTTTGATGTTGTTGATCCTGATGTTGTGAATGATGAATTTGATGTTTAACAATGACTTCAGGCCCGCTGGATGTTATCTCGTCATCTTCTTCTGATTCTTCTGATTCACTAGCTTCCTCATCATAACTTTGTCTCATGGAGGGTTCATCGTATTGAATTGATGGTGATCCTTCATTAGAACCATCACCAGAAGATTGACTATTACCCCAGGAAGTATCATCTGAATCACTCGTAGATTGAGCTTGAGGTGCATAAGGAGGTTGAATTGGCTGATGTTGAGGACCGGGTTGTGCTTGATAACCGGAAGATTGATACTTTGATGGATGCTGATTATTGTTATTATGATTATTTGGGCTATTGTTGTTACCGTTAGAATATGAATGATGAGGTCCATGTGACTGTGAATTAGGAGGTGGAATTGGTCCTTCATTACCTTCAGATGAACCTGAATTACCATGATCTATATTCATCCATTCATGACGTACAACAGGTCCACCCACTGGATTACCAGAATTACCATTTTCATGATGATCTCTTCTCATATCCTTACGAGCTACTCGACGATAATCCTCTTTATTGGAAGAACTTGAATCCTCATGAGACTGTCTTACCTGTGGACCATTGTACTTGAAACCTGTTGATCTACCTGATGCTGGTTGGTAACTGTATTCATGTCTTAGAATTTGAGATTTCCCCGAAGAAGAAGAAGAAGAAGAAGAAGAAGAAGGAGATGGTGAAGATGTGGGATAAGAATGAGATGATGGTCCACCATGTTGATATGAAGGCCTATGAGAAGAGTAAATAAGATTGAAGAGAAAGAAAAGAAGAGAAGAAAAAAAAAACGTAAATGGAAGAGAAACGAATTTAAGTGGAAGAAAAGAAAGGAAAACAAAGAGAGAAAAGGAGAAGAGGCTTTTAGATCATTAGTTGTTAGTGAAGAAAGAAACAGAATCCAATCTAAGGTTGACTGGTTGAATGTTCATTTCAAAAGATTCAGAGTTTTGAGCTTTGCAAGTCGTTTGTTGATTTGTTTTGCTGTAATTTTTTCCTTTAATGACTAAATAAATGACATGAATGTTTCGCTGGTTCTGTTTACCTGAGAGTTTGGAGTTCACACCACAGTCGAAAAGACAAGCAATACTTTTTTTACCTTCTCCTCGCTTTTTTTCACGCTCTCTACTTAATTCTATCTATTTTTCTCTCTTTTAATGGCAGCGAAAAAAAAACAAGAAGAAGGTAAAATATCAACAATATTCCAACAGTAATCATCATGTATAAGAGAAGAAGAGAAATTCAAAGTAATTTGAGTAGAAATTGAGGATAAAAATGAAGGAAAATTGTTGGTATCAACTATCTTTTCATCTTTTACAACTTTTTCTCTTTCGCAATCTATTTTTGTGTCTTTTTTTTCGATTCTCTTAAATTGTGATTAAATCAACTGTGTGGTTGTTGGAAGAAGATTAAATTGTGATTATCATGTTGCTTTTTTCTGTTATAATGTTCAATCATTGGAGCTGATAATTTATCTCTTGTTCGTTTGTATTATTGGTTTTGGGATAGAAAATTGTGTTTTCTTTTTCATGGTTTTGTTTGTTTACTTTTCGCTTTCTCGTTTCTCACCTGTTGTAAATTGAGCTGCTTGGACGATGCACTGGACCTGATTTACCATCTTCATCATAATCGTCATTGGATTCACTATTGAAGGACGAAGATGATGAAGGACGATTACCATAACCTGGATTGGAATCATGTTTAACCCATGGACCAATATCTTGACGATTATGTTGAAATGAACTTTCTGAATGAAGGTCATCCAATTGATAGGTTATTGAAAAGTTTGCCGAAGATGATGAATTGTTGATAAAATCCGTAGGAAGGCTGAATGAAGCTGATGATGCGGATTCAGCTGATGTTAAAGATGATGATGGCAATAATGAATCAGTTAATGATGGCGGTGAAGTTGATGATGATGATGATGATGATGATGAAGCGGAGGAAGATGGTAATGATGATAGAGATAAAATTGGCAACTCATGAGGTGAATCAGTTTCATTGAAATCAACAATGTAAAAGTCACTCGGTGAAAAGGTTGATGTTGATGTGCCATTGGATGAAATTGGATCACCATCCAATAGTGAATTACCTGCAATCAGTGAATCATCTGATGCATGAATTAACAATGTCCATTGAAGCTCACTCAGTATCAATAATATCACAAGCCCAATGGCTGATGGAAGCTTAATCATGCTTCTCGTTTTTCCCCCTGGTTTTCACTTAATCTTATACATTGAATATCCACTGGTGATTCAATTTTGGACTTGTCTCAACACTGAACAATATTAACTGTTGATGTTTGATTATCAAAAACTTTCAATAACTGTTAACTTATCAATTGACACTTGATAACTAATCCGATAATCTCATTTTACCCTTACATTTATAAGCCAATTTTCACCCATTTCTCTCTCTCTCTCTCACTCTCTCAATCACTCACTCTTTCCAATAATCATTAGTCAAAATGCTGATCATCCCTTTGATTTTTTTTTCCAACCTGTTAATTGATTTTCTTTATTAGGGTTTGAATATTTTTCTCAATAATCCATAAAACGGTTGATTTAGTTACAATTGACTAATATGATTAACCAAATTGTTAACTGTTGATTTGAACTTTTCTTGATGATCTTGATATCGGTTGACAATATGTATTGATCAGGGTAGATAAGGTTAGTTGTTTAAAGTTATAACTGTTTTCATTTTCTCATTTTTTATTGTCAATCTAATTACCTTACCAGGTATGATTCTTACCTGTTAATTGGGCTCACTTTCTTTTTTGTTACATCTTTCACTCTCTTTTCATAATCATAATGATAATCGATGAAATTAATGGCGTCATCCACCGATGATAATGATTATAATAAAGAATAGAATAAGAGATTAACCAATAATTGTTAATCTCTCTTCGTATCGGTAAAGTTCGTTGTTATCGATCGATTTTCATTACTTACACTTAAACATTTCTACAGGTAAATAGACAATAAACGCCCTTCACAAAATGGGTTTGATGTGGGTTTGATATGAGAGAGAATAGAGAAGAAGAAGAAGAAAAAAAAAGTTCAACTCACTGAATAGAGAAAAAAAAGAGTTGAAAAAATAGTTATGAACTTTCAGGTAGCCTGATGATACAATTTAATGTTTACTGTGGCAATTGAAAGGGAGGGTTCCAAGTGATTAGACTTATCGCCTGGTTTATGTGTGTCTGTAACACTGTAGTTGATTAACTCAGATTAACCTCATTTCGTTGATCTTTTTTTATTCATAATCTTTGCTTGATATTATCGATATTTTATCAAAAATTTATTGATTGAGTTGAGAGTGAGATGTATTAATAATGATGATAGTGATTATGATGGCGAGAGAAAGATTAATTTCACTCCTCAACTTAACCATTAGTGAGAAATATGTTCAATCATATATGTTATTTGATTGTACTTCGAATTTTAAAAGTAACAGTGATTGACATCCATTTATCCTGCATGATATTGAAAAAGATGATGATAATAATAAGAAGATGAGAGAGTAAAATACAGAAAGAGAATCTTAGTTAAGAAGATAAAGAGAAGAGATAATTTTGTTTTTCTTTCTCTCTTTTCTTCATCGTTTCAATCATCAATCTCATCAACTTTCGGTCATTTGCTTCTTAATTATCTTCATCACTTTGAAACACCAATCAAATTGATGATGAATATCCCAATTTCTATCTAACTAAATCATAATGAATGATGATTTCTAATAATTAATCAGATATTGCAAATTAATCATTTACCTATAAGGATAATTTTATGGTTCACTTTTTGTTTTGTCTTTCAAATATTTTAAATTATCATGATTGTTGCGATTCCTTAATAACTTCCGTTTCCCAAACATATGATTGTCTAATCGTAGGGAATTTTTATTTGCCAGGATGATAATGATTATAATGATGGCGATGATGGAAAATAGCATTTTCATTGTAAACACCTAAACATGAATCAAGAGAGAGAAAGAGAGAGAGAGAGAGAAGAATGAGATTTAATTCTGACAGCTACGCATTTTTTGTTCATTGAAATGATCAACGTTGCAAAACACACTCGTTGCTTTGAAAGCTAAAGAAAGATGAAAATTCATGATAAAAGAGAGAGAGAGACTAGTTCGTCATCATTCATTTTACTTTTCTCTTTCTATTTTCAAGGTCACTCTCATGAATTATTGTTAAAATTTAATCTATACCTTTGATAAGTTTGCAGCGACTTTGCAAACCTTTTTTTTTTCTAATGAAAAAAAGTTCTGAATGTTAGAAAGAGAGAGTGAGAGTGAGAGAGATAATGAGTGGAATAGAAAATACGAAAGTTGCTAGATTTAACTTCTTCTCTCTCGTTCTCTCTCTCTCTCTCACCTTTGCAGATAGTCATCCAAGATTAGATGCATTTAGATGAATTAATTTGCAATCTCAGCCTTGAATTTTTTTCTTCGTACTTTCAAAGCAAAGTGTTTTAATGCTCCGAGTAATAATAATATAATGAGAGTATTAAATTAAAGTTAGATTGTAATGTTATTAATATGATCTTGGATTACATTTTATTTTTTCTCTCTCTCCTCGTTCCTATCACTCACTCTCTTTCTCCCTCGTCTCACATTGAAATTATAATGAACAATTTATTAATTGTACAGGGAAACTATTTACATGGAGATGAATTAAGATAGAGGTAAATTAAAGTTACAATAAAAGTGAACTCAGAAAATGCAAATCGTCAGATCGCTTTGTGTTTAGATTGATGTGTTTCTCCTCTTCACCAAATATCAATTCTGATGATAATCAACATTTGTTTTACAGATAAAAAGATGAGAAAACAAAGGAAATATTAAAGTGAGAGAGAGAATGATGAAGATTAAAGAGAATAGAAAAATATCTTCACTCTCCTCCTAAGATGATAATCAAAAAATCTCATCTCATGTATTTACTAACCTTTTCTCTCTCTCTCTCTCTCTCTTTCTATTTGTATACTTTTGTCTGTTCTCCTCCTTAGCATCTTGATCTTCCTATTTTTCTGTTGTTTTTCCATTACTTTATTGTGTTTATCTGTCAATTTATGGTCTACCTGTAAAAATGCAATCTCACCTTAAAAGGTTATCACATTATCATTATCATTTTGAGAAATGCAAAGTAAAAGCCTTTGCTATTTTCCCTTTTGACAATCTCTTCCCAATTTTCCCCGGGCCGATGATCAACATATATTATCATCATCTTGTTATTTGTCTTTAAGTAATTCGAAACGGCTCATCATTATTTCTACTTCGAAGTATACATTTCGATTACAGTTAACTTAGTAAGAAGAAAAGTCCGTTTACTTTTGCTACATAATTTTTTTCTTTCTGTGAGAAGATGATAAAACTGTTGATGCATACGTGGTAAAATGTAAAAGAGAAGATGAAGATGATGATGATGATGATGAAGAGAAGACTCCCTTTGTTGTTATCTTGGGAATGGAAATTCAAATTAGTAGTTGGCACCCCCTTGACTTGAGGGCCATTTTGCCCAAACTTCGCCAAGGCCCTACAGGCACAGTCGACTGACCTATGCAACTTGTTACTTCGCTATTACTTTCTCTCTCTCTCTTTCTCTCTCTCTCTCTCTCTTCCAATCTCTCTCTTTCTCTTTCTCTTTCTCTTTCTCCCTCTCCCTTTTCTCTTTTCTCTTACCTTTTTGTTTATTATCCTTCTCTTCCCCATCGGACTCCTCATTTACTCGCGTTCGTTATAATCTTTCTATTTCTCTTTCTTCACTTCTCCTTCATCATTTTTTTTCTACCTTTACCTGTGATTTGTTTCTCTTTTCTCTTTCTATCATTCCATCTATCTTCATCTTCTTTTCTATCTCTTGCATCTTCTTTTCCCTTCTTAACTCTCACACTGCGTCAGTCAGTCCAAAGTCTTTAAGAATCAACCTTAACTTAAATACCATTATACCTCCTCTTTACTTTCATCATTCTCCTCTTTCTCTCTCTCTCTCTCTCACTATCTCTTTTTCATCATCATCTTCATCATCTCTTATACCTGACTTGTAAAACCGTCTTAAGGTTATTCATTGGTAATAAGCAAGAAAAAAATACATATATAAGGGACTCAGCGTCTTCTATCAAGATTAATCATTTCGTTATTAGCAGAAAGCAAAAAAGATGAAGCAAAGTTTTCTTAAGGTCTCTTTGATCCATCTTTCAGTTTATCTTTGATTATCTATCTCTTTAAATCTCAACCTTAAAGTTAACTGTTCTAATGTAATATAACATGAAATGAAAGATATTCCTTCATTTTTAACTTCTCTATCATCTAAAACACACGATTAAATGTCAATGATTCATTTTCAATCACTGATTTAATCTCAATCCAAATGAAAAATAATGAATTCTTATTATCTCTTTAATTTGCAAAACGAATCACATAAATATTTAAACATAATCTCATGAGTTATTTTAATTAGATTTCGATTAATGTAAATCTATGTACCGACTGATTTAGTAATTTTATCAATTTCTATTACTTTTTAATTTCGTACTCAAGGTAAATCCAAATGTAAGCATTAATTTTCTTATAATCGTGAGGTAATTTAGTAAATTATTAAGATTCGGGCTGAAAAGCTTTTTGATAAATCACATTTTCATCCACACCATCATCATTTTCATGAAACTTTAAGCAAACCTTATGAATGTGTTATTATCATTTCTATGCATGATATCACAAAATTATCATCATCAACATCTCTTGATGCTCTGATCTTCACAAAGCAACAATCCTTTTGAAATGAGAATCAAATGCTGATGATGATCACATAAATTATCAGATTTGAATAAAAGTGTAAACATTTGATTACTTTGCATCATTCATCTTATATATACTACAGTATTATAATCGAGTGAAACATTAGTAACTCAAGAATTGGTTTGTGAACAATTAACTAATTATTTTCTTATTCTATTTTCAGATGGACGTAAAAAGATCGAGGAAATGTATCATCCATCATGTGATAGATCAGAATTTTATACAATGTCCGATCGAACCAAACCTCCGGTTCTATTTACACCAAGTGAAGAACTTGATAAGGTAATTGTGATCAATTATCATGATAAATCAAGCAAAGTATGTGAAACCATCATTTATGGCTAAATTTACCTTCACCTTTTCATGAGAAAGTTTTAGCAAGTTGAGACAAGTT